GAAGGAACTGAGTGCGTGTGACTGGGAGGTCTGAAGGAACTGAGTGCCAAGTGGCTGACCGGAGAACTGCAGTAGTAGTTACTAGACCTCCCAAAGGTTCTCCGTTTGCACGTCTATCTGTCCAAAAAACCTCCACCCACCCTTAGTAGGACCTCTTCAAAACCCCCCAATGCCCACAAGCGAAGTGGCCCTGACGGCGATGCCGAAAAGGACCAGGGCTTGACGATGCTTGTCCTTATGACAGTTCCTTCGAGATCAGCATCAAGACCGCTAAGATCTCGAAAGTGCCATGCAGTCACCAAATCTGCCACGCCATCTATAGTACCAGTGGCCCTCAAACCATGAACAATAAAGTGCTTTCAGGCACATGCAAAAACCTTGTTTTTTTGCTAGAGAAAACCAGGTGTTTGATGGTTTGTGGGGCCCCTGGTCAACGTCAGAACTAGGCTGATCGATTCAAACAAGATCCGGCGCGTGACTCGCTCCGGAATTCCGATACCTTTCCTCTGATTCAACGCCCCAACCAACACCGTAACTCGTCCCCCAAGCACTCAAGTCTTTACTGCCATCATCCCAGTCGCCCCCCCAAAAAAAGAAAACACTTCTCCCCAATCTTCCGCTCGAATCTCCCAGTCACACCGCCCCTCTCTAGCACCGTCGCCACATCCGGGCACCTTCGGCGAGGGATGGGGCGAGCCGGCGTGCGCCATGCTGGCCCGGACCGGCAAGCCAATGGACATCGCCGAGCTCACCGGCCTCTCCCGCTGGGGGCTGGGCGTGCTCGTCGTGCTGCTCTTCACCTGGACGGGAAGAAGCGAGCTCGGACGCGGCAGCGAACCGAGATCCAAACGACGCCTTCTTGGTGCAAACACGGTGGTTTGATGCCTTCGTGGACAAAAAAGCCGGATTTCAACTTATTGCAAGATTGACTTCTCAATGTGCTTCATCTCCCCAATGTTCCCAATAATGCTTCAAACAGCCCTTGGGCCCTCAAAAACCTGCAAATTTGAGACCCCCAAACCCTTCCATCCAAATACCGGGTGTGTTATCTGAAAAACCACATCCTAGCTGAAAAGGTTGGATGTGTCCCTTTTTATCATTTCATGTCCCAGCTTGAGAGGAGGTTCTTACACTGAATACCGTTTGGACCTTAATAACTCTTCGCCTCACTTTGATACTTTGATTTGGACCATTTCTGAATCACATGGTGTCTGAAAATTCGACCCCTTCAATGTCCAAAACCCATCTAGCAATGTTCCTAGTGTAGCTCTTTGATCTCTTTTTGGATCCAATCTTTCTGCAGGTCACTGAGGTCCGGCGCTCGCGCACCGTAGAGGTAGAGGAGGCCGCGGAGTGGCGAGAGGTGCGAGAAGAATTGGTACTCCGGGATTGGTCTTTGCAAAGCCTGGAAATCAGCTCCTGCACCGGACCGAGGTTTCGGCCGGAACCAGGCGCGCCCACCCTTTATTCGGAGGACGTCTTCGTCACGGTCCCCGAGGTTTTGTTGAACATTCCCGATAGATGTGTTTTTTCCGGCACGATGGATTGGCAAAACGGGTGTTTTTTGGTCATGTACAAACAAGGGTGCCTCCATGGTGCCCCTTGTTCGCTTTTTTCGCTCCACATGCAACATTACCTTCACCTCCGCCGCGCCCTGGAAGATTCACAATGGAAGCTGAAAACCGCTGGCCATGCCATCAGGTTCCATGCGGGTCTCTTCTCATGTACTTCTAGAACCCTCACATGGTTGATGGTTTGGTCCCCGAGCCTTCGGCAACCTAATGTCTCTGGCCGACCTTCGAGCCTCTGGAGGGCGCGGAACTGCGGACGCCCCCTCATTCTATCAAGTGGGGTGCTGATGTGGAGATGGTTTAAGAGTTGTATAGGTACCAAGCGCTTCCTGAGTAGGCCCAGATGGAGACCAATGAGGACAATGTAGGGCAGTCCACTGGTGATGTTTTTGGAAGCAGCTGGTAGCTCCATGATACACGAATATGGTCTGAAATTCTTGCGTCCGAAACCGTGTTCCACCACGCGCTTTTGTGGTGGCGCATCCCCGAGAGGGAAATGCCTGAAGGCGGAAAAAAATGCTCCGTCCTGCTGTTGATCAAAGCGTGACATCAAGTCTTCGTGATAACTTTGCATCAGTTCGCGAAGGCCTTGAAAGTCTGTCGCGCCTGAGTTGGTAAGCCATGACGACGAATAAATGAAAAGCCTGCAACAAAAATCAATGTGGTGCTGCATGCGTGCTTATACCGGCAGGTCTGTATCTCAGCGTTGTGGAGCATTGAGTGTAGGAACAAAGTACGTGGTTGACTGTCTGCTAGGCCATCTGAACCACGCTACAACCTGGTAAGCAATCCCTGAAAACTGGTAGCCCCCACTTAACCATGCTTAACCATCCAATGGGGGAGTCGTAGGGTCATAGCTCGTCAAACTCACCAGCCCCTTCCCCGCCTTTCAAGCTGCTGCCAGGTGCTGCTACTTTCGAGGGGTTTGGACGTTCCACCTCGCTGGGGGCGGAGCAGGACCAAAATGAATAGAGCAGGGCAGGACCAGGCCCGTTGAGATGACAATGATGACCATCTTGAAGAACATGTGACCAGCAGCAGTTCCAAAGGAATACTGTTTAGTCCCTAAGTGCGAGGATAGTGGGCACCCCTATCCTATCCTATCCTATCCTCCAATAGGAACCCCTTTGGGACTGATGGGATCTATGTTTGTTCCTCCCAGTCTTTTAATGCCCCGAGCTGGGGTGTTGGGGTTCACCCCAGCTCGTTCTTTCTTTGCCCTCCCTCACGCTGCGCGACGTCGGCCTGCTCTTCGTGTTCAGCGTTGGAACTGATGATGCTCAGGTTTGTGACCGCAGGGGCTCCACTTTCAAAGCTCTCAACGCGGTACATCTCGATCGTTCTATTGCCGTCATCCTGACACATCGAGATCGTCTCAGATCTCAAGATCGAGTCCGAATTCTATAAGGCAAGAAATATCCGTTTTGAGACATCCAAGCAACAGTCTCAATAAATGAAGAATAATGAAGATATCAGCTTTCAATTCTGCAAGGATTGACATCCTTTAGTTATGTGTATACACGTGGAACTTGATCCCGTCCAACCACGTTCTCTGGCATCTACAGTTGGAATGAGTCCACCCCAGAGTTGCCAGCACATCCACCGCATCGAAATGCTCAGGGCTTCAACGACATCCGCGTGCGACACCTTTTGGCCCACCCCCCTAGTTGCAACTAGCAGCCCAAACACGACCCATGGGAGTGGAATATGCCTAGAACCTCGTTATATAATAATGTCCGCAAAACTTCATTTAGGCGTACCATTCTGCCCGCCTTCTTTCTAAGGTCAAAACCGCCGAGGCACAGCCGCATGAGAATTCTTACAGAACCAGAAGTTGACTGAAAAACACTTTATGCCACCTGACGCTAGTCCCCGGTCTACAGTATTTGAAACTCATGTCACTCGCTCCACTCGTTTGTCCACCCAACAACTGATTGTAGTGAGCGGGGAATGAGTAAGAACGCTGAACACCTAAGTAACGGGCAAGAACGCCTAATTAGATATAAACGGTAAGAACGCCTAACAGGAAGAACGAAAAAAGAAACAATGATTTAGACAACGAAACTGAAGCTATGCATACAAAAGAGAAACATCAACATCAAGTGAGTTCCTGATAAATAACAAACGTCCATCATCACCATGGAAGTTCCTGGAACCAGTGGTGGGCAAATCCTCATCTATTTGAGCATTGCCACCAAAAGGACCAGAATGCCTAGAGGGGACAAGAACGCCTACAGGGGGCAAGAACGCCTAAGCACGGACAAAGGCGCCTGTACCCATAATAGGCCAGGCAAACATGTCTGCCCAAGAAAAGGTTCTATATATAGGATGTTCTAGGTATGCATACATTGACCCCAGGTCCACCCCAATGTAGGTTAACTATGCCATAAGTCCGGTGGAGAATTATGCACTACTTGTCCCATGAGAAAAAAACCGCACAGTTTTTTTAATGTAGTTGCCATGATGCAAAGGCAGTGTTCTTGGTGATTCTGAGATATCTTAAGGCAAGCATCAGATACATCAAAGGAACACTTCTTGGACATCTTCGACTTGTGTGTCTCCTGCACGAGGAGCATGTTGCAGCTCACAATACAAAACAGGCGGCACATGCTGAGTGTGAAGGATGACAAGCGCCTCAAGCTTAGCCAAAGACCCCCGCTGCAAGTAATTAGCGCACATGTAGATTGTAGATTGACACCTTGCTGCGGCATGCAGCTCTGAGTTGATTCGATCCGGCCTCCGAGCCTCCACCTTGATCAGCGAAAAAAGAGCTTCGCGGGCCCCATAGATTTCGCAAATGTTATTTCCTTTAGGGGCACATACGGCGCACAAAGGCCTTTCTGGTATTTGCAGGGCACTTGGGGCAGCTTTCTACTTGACCACCATCAACTGTACTACTGATACGGCTTAGAGCATCTATAGGTTTTGATGGCTTTTTACTGATACGGCCCATACGGCTTAGAGCATCTTATATCATCTATTGACCCGGCCGTCGAGGCCCCGAAGCTCGCGTAGAGTGTTTACTGCTGGCTGTCAGAAGCGAACTGGTTTTTGCTCTCGCTTCAGAAGGTTTGTCCTTCCATGGATCGACCTTGAAGGATTGGAGATGACAATAGATGATATCACCTCCAAAACATGAATTGTTCAATCATGTGCAGTAAACCCATGTCCAACCTCTATCGTACAGCAGGTCCTATTAATCAAGAGCCTACCTTATCAGGAGTTGACCTGAACCAAAAACTTCCAGGCACCATGTGGGTATCTTAAATCGGGGAGACCCCCTTTCTCACCCCTGGCTGGGTAGACTATGGTGGACTGGTCTATTTCCCCAACCTGAAACCGCGCCTCGCTGGAGCGTGACGCGGAGCTGGTTTTGGATTCCTCGAACTCCTCGAGTTCGTGTCACGTCGGTGCTTCGGCTTTCGGGCGACGTCTGTTGACCAGCGAGGCGGGCGACGGTTGGAGGTGTGTTTTCGATTGTTTTCAAGCACCGTGACGGTTTTTTCTCTGCAGAATGTGGAGGTCTCGAGATAGCTTGGCATCGTAGATCCACTCGGAGCCCCAGTGCATAGTCGAATGGAAATATGCAGAATGTGGGGGAGGAATGGGGTGGATGAAAAGTAAGAACGACTCCAGCGACCTCCTTTGGTTCGATGGATGTTTCTGTGGGTGCCCCCTCAAACGGTCGAATTGTTAGCCTACTTGTGGGCCGCTTTTTGACTGCAGCCTAACTAGCTCCTCAGGATGTGGAGAGCCCATGTTGAATATAGAACTGGTTGATGTTTTCAACCCACTTGAAGCATATGAGTCAGAGGGTCCAATCATCCCCAAGTAAGGGTTGAACATAACAATATCCGAAACCATCACCACTACCATCACGAATTGAGGACTCCCAGGTTGACCAAGTTTGGAACTTCGAAAAGGGCATAGTCCAAAAGCTAACAAGGCGGACGCCCGAGCACCAACCACCTGGATCGAGAGAGCAAAAGGGAAAGGACACCGAGCAAAACAAGCAGCAGCAAAAGCAGCAGCTCATGCAGCATCAGCAATAAGCCACTAAAAGGAGTAGCAAAACAAGGACAAATGCAACTAACAATGAGAAGTGCCCCCACTACCACCACTACCACTACAACCCCAACAGGTGTGTGTGCGTGTGCCTAACCCCACTTGTGCTTGGATGGTTCGTCCATCAGTTTGTTTTGACACTGCTTTTCAGATGAGAATCTCGGAAAATAATAGGTCTTCTCTCAAGAGGGATCACCCACAAAAATCACAAAATAGAACATCGAGGATTTGGAACAATTATCAGAGAGTAAAAACTCATTCACGGCCATCGAGCAGACTTCGAAATATGCTGCAGGGGGCTCTGTATGTGAATCCTTACGCAAAGCGGACTTCACTGCAATCTAAATTCCTCTTAAGGCTGACATAGGCTGGCGGCTGATAGAGTTCTGTTCGACTTCAAATCGATATGTATTAGATACAGTAATACTACATAACTATAACTATATTACTGAATTCATTACCATGACATGTAAAGGGCACTTGTCTGTTTTTGAGCAACCACCAACCACCACCATGAACACAGCAACCACTGCCACCTCCAGCACGTCAAACATTCACCCACCACCGGCCCACCACCCAAAACACCAGCCATCTTGCGCCAGGCTTCCATGATTTTCGCCGCGCGAAAAACCACCGGCCGCGCGGATCGCCGGAAATGGCTGCTCTGTAGCCCGAGAATCGCCAGGGCGAGAGTCTGATCGTACAACCCTTAACCCAAACCGCTTCAACCCATCACCCAAAATCTGGGTCAAAGTGTAACCAAAAATAATACCGCCCTGTCTCCCACCAGCGCTGTACCAAGAAAGCCCGCCGTCCATGCTGCATCTCTTGAGTTGCCCGACCTCTCTTCCGCGGACCGTTTCTGCATCCATCCAGTCTCAGGTCGTCCAGTCCATCCGCTCCACCTGGTCGGGGGCCACCACTCCACCACCGTCTCGAGGCCTCCAGCGCTCGGAAGTAGTCGTTCCACTGGGCGTCCAACTTCGAAGGGTTCACCTTCCACTGCCTCCACCGGAGCGCGGAGCGGCTCACGCGCCCGGCGCGTCGGAAACCGCACCGGAGCGAGAATGGCCGGGGGTTTGGCGTGTGGTGTGGGCGGAGAGGGACTTGGAGATGGCATGATGCCGTAGATGAATCTTGAGTCTTGATATTGATGAAACTGATTTGCTGAGTGCACCATGAAAATGGCTTGAGGCTCACATGGATGCATCTAGATGCTAAGGGTAATCCAAGTCTGAGGCCCCAAAATGAACAAATTCGCTGTTCGGTGCTTGTGGCGACCAAACCAAGCTGAGCATCGTCACTGGTGGGTGAGTTTCATCGCTACTAGTAGCTTCTTGCTACTGTAGTAGTAATGGCCTCCAACCTAATAGCGATGGTCTCCACCTAATAGCGTCCTGGGCGGTGGCTACACCGTTATGTCCCAATTCTCAACAGTTTGCGACATGGGTGACCTTAAAACCAATGCCAATGCCTTTCACACTTCTGCATGCAGTGTTGAGAGTCTGTTTCGTTGGTTTCTTCGACCCCATGTCGAGGCAAGAAGTGCAACCCAAGGGACAAGTAGAGATTCTCCAAATACCTCGCATTGACGCCTGAAGCAACTGCATCCTGCACAGCACGATGCAGCAAACAAGCACACAGTGCAAAGCTAAAAGGATGCGTTGACCACCGGCTTGCAACGAAAAGTCTAGATCCCAATGAGTTTTTGCCCAAGCTCCCATTGGACAATGGCTAATGGACTTGGGGCTGTCTACACCTTCGCCACACATCACTTCGACACAGCCCAGGAATCTCCCATGTCGTGACTTGCTCACTTTCCCCAGAAAAAGAAAGGCTACACTCCCTGAAACAATCATGGAAGTGGACAGTGGCCCCGAAAGGAAGATTACTTTCCTCTACCAAAAGGGGGTTGCCCACTTCCATGATTGTTGCAGGGAGGCTAGCCCTTTTCCATTGGATTTTGACTGGGGGAGCCCAACCCCTGATCTCCCCACAAGGTGATTCATTGACCCGGTCGGTGTGAACACCCAGCCGTTCCGGCTGCTGCATCCTGTGAGCATCACGCAATAGGCGGAATAGCCCTGTCCTCGATTTTTCTTGTTACTAGTAATGGCCTCCAACCTGATAGCGATGGCCTCCAACCTAGTAGCTTCTAGCTACTGCATGTTCCCTCCCGCGAAGTCAGGCCTCACGTCGGGGACGGCCCGGGTGTTCCGTCCTCATAGAAGCTTCGATGTGCCAATGAAGGACGCCAAAGTCGGAGCGCAGCTAGGCGTCGTGCTGAATGCATGGCCTGCGAAGATGATGAAGATGAGGGAAGCCCTCAACCAACTGGAGGATTCCAACACCAAGTAACACCAAGCCTTTTTGATGACGATTTGCCTGGAGGGTTAGGGGCCAACAAAGCTGCTTGAAGGTGTTTCATGAAGTTCTCTCATGAAGTTTTTGGGTCACTATTCCAAAGCTTGACCCTTTACAACACGGCACATGCCGCACCACAAGCAAGCCCCTTGCCAGCACAGTTTCATGCATCCCACATAATGTGAGGACTTCGCAATGCCCCTTGGCAACTTCTCCCATTGCCTGGCTCACGCACGCACTCCGGCGCCGAATGGACTCCGGCCCCGGCCCGCGCGCTCCCCACGTCCGGCTTCGAGCCCGACGGGTTCAGCGAGACGCTGCCGTCAGTGGCCACCGTGGTTCTTCCCCACAAGTCTTTGTGCTTTTTCCCCTGTCATGCAGTTGGCAGTTGATGATTTGGAGTTTATATATTATATAATCCTAGCAATACAGGTGTGATAAAGGCTTGGAGCATCACAAAATACCATAAACTCCCCCCGCGCCCCACACTACACATTCTGACCATGAGTTCACCAACTATGTCAACATGACCAACGTACCACAAACACATCCCAAAGAAGGCTTCTCCAATGAGTGCAGGATATCAGGATATCTTTCTTCAACAGTAGCCGATCCAACCGGCTCATCTGAAAACCACCCCTGGCGCCCGTGCCAAGAGAAAAGCCCCGAGGCCGCATCGCCCATGGCGGCCACCGTGGCATCCTTGGCCTCAGCAAGGAAAGCTTCTTCACACCCTTCGATCACACACACACACACACATCTCAAGTAACATCAAACTCACCATGCTGCACCATGCGAACCATTTTCCTGAAGTGTTTGTAGACCGATGCTAACCATACTAACCACATCTAACCATCTGTTTTGGGGGCCCATGTTCCTTTCCTCACACTCTTCTGGCTTCACTTACGATTGCACTTCATCATCTTCATCTGAGCCCGGTCGAGACCGAGACCCGAGTCACACCGTCCAGCTCGTTCCGTCCATCCGTGCAGCGCGACACGAGCGAAGAACGCAGCCAGAAGCTACGAGTTCGTACCGGTCCAGACCCTCTAAGGATCTCTAAGGGGTGCCCTGTCTGGAAGCCTAGGCCGGTAGTGTGGAGTAGTCCAGCCAGGACACCCCGACAGGAGGGTCCTGGTATAGCACTCTACTCTACTGACTATTTAGTAACCAAAAGCTCCGTGCTGGTGGTTGAAGGCGCTGTCCGACAACTCGTGGACGTCGTGGAAGCACTGACAGCGGTCAAGAGAAGTCACAACCACATAGGATTAACGAGGATCAACGTAGATGCGGCGTGAATACCCCAACACCCCATATTGAAGAGGGTTTCACCATCCAAACAGGGCGGCGGGATTCATCAAGATTCTACATTATACTTCCATTAAGCATGTTCCATTTTTGTTGGATGGAGGGTAGAGCTGGTATGAGCTGGTGGAAACGGCTGATGGGTCTGAGGGAGGGTGGTCAGCCAGGTGTGCCACTCTAGCTCAACATGTGCACGGCCCTTCAAGGAAATCCGGATAGAAAAATCACATCCCCAAGTATCTGGGGCAAACAACTTACTAATAGAAACATGCTGCATGCTGCACTGAGTTCAGCTGCGCCAGTCCTGCCCCAGTGCTAGTCCGTCAAAATTCAAGGCAAACATGGGCGAACCATGATTTCTGTTTGTCCCCGTGCTTGTGAAGCCAATCCAACCACACCGCCCCGATCCCGCCATCGATTCCGGCCGATTCCGCTGCGCTCATCACAGGGTCCTGGGGAACGGGCCGATGGCGGATGGCCAATCCAACGTGCAGCGAAGCGCGGCCTAGGCCTTTGAAGGTCTTCAGATTGGGAGCTCCAGTAGTGGATCTTCTGGCATTCTCTGAGTAACCCATCTCCGACCTAGACATGCTGGACGATCTGTTGCCGAACGAATCGGGCCGTCTCCTGTTCCCACGACCAGTCACCGGCCTCAGCGCTTTCAAACGAATCAGAAGTCAATGATATAGTACTGATTGCTTTGAGGCGCAAAATGCAGCCACACATACGCACAAACATCTCGTCCTCCGTCTTCTTTTAGCGTGTCGAACCTGAATCAAACTGACCGTCAACTGCGAGCAACAGGCACTGGCCAAAGCACAGTAGCTCGGCTGGTGACTGACAAACCCTGGTCCAAACACGACTCACCAGCACTGCGATCCCTTTTTCTTCGAATCAGCTCCCAAGTTAGGCAATTCTGATCCTGGCCGGCACCATCGTTTCGGGCCAAGAACGACGTTTAAGTCGCTCCAACGACCAATCAGAGCTTTCGAAGATCTGCGACGGTACTTCCAGAACAATCACAATGACCTGATCCTAAAATGTCTCAAACCAGCAGAGGTTGAAGAACCCTATAGACTATCATATAGGTACCCCTGGTGACGGGTCCTAGTTCAGGTCACGGATAAAGGCGCCACCGTCCATCCCTTGACATCACCATCACAAATGGATCTCGGACACTCTGAAGAAACAAACACACACACCAATCGATCTTGGATAGGCAAATCGGCTCCAGCCCCCCTGATCAAAAGAACAACTGTAAAGCACAATCCGCATGGATCCCTGTGACAACAAGGGACACACACTTAGGATAGGGTGTACTGAACTGAAAGCGGTGCCACACGCC